TCGCTAGAGGAGGTTCACTTGAATTTTCACGCCCTTCAAAAATGAGAGACCATCTGAGATCTGTCGTCTGTTTATTGAGGAGGGGTTATCTGCAGCGCTGACGGCTACAAGTAGCCTTTAGCAGACAGCTTGAAATTCGATAGTCGACGGGGTTTTTTCCGACTAAATTAAACCGCAGCAAAGGAATCTTTGACAACGGGTCGTGTTTGATAGAGTGGGAGGGGGATCGTATTCAGCGACAGTATGTTCGCCTGAATACTATGTATTCTATGAAGAAGTGGGTTGTATTCGACTTCTTGGAAAGAAGAGGTCGAAGATTGTATACTTATGGAAAGGGGGTAATGATGTGTGGGAGAATGCCGGATAAAGGTGAATTCGCTGTTTTACTGTGGAAGGAGGTCTTGGCGGGATAGTGCGTGGTGGAATTGGGGGGGGGCACACCGTCCAAAATCTCCTTGACATTGACATTTTTTGGTTCACCCGTCCACCAGCTTCACGCTAAAAACACAAAAAGAAGCTGAAGGCCATATTTCACATGACTGAAAATTTATTAGATTGCTTCTTGGAGTATATAGAAAATTCGAGGGATTCAAGGAAACCGTAGCACTTTCGCCTTCTCCATGTCCGACTGCGCTACTATACCTAGCCGTTTTCAACTCTGGCTACTGAAATGGTTCTCTATAGCTCAAAAAATTTCGCTATCTATCACCTTACTTTCAGCTCGAGTTCAACAGCATCTTCTTAAAATGACGTCCTCGCCTTTGAATGAGCACTCGTTGGCGTTTGGCTACCGTCCAGCTGGCACCTTGCCCACTTCCTACTTTGGTGCAGCACCATTTCAAGGGTATCAAGGCGACTTCACGAGGTTCCACTGCTACTTTCATCATGACTACTTTGGCGATAACGACGATTAATGAGATATCTTTGCAGCTATATGACGAACCCGGGATGGTACGGTGGTGGGGATCCACGGTTTGCTGCATGTGAGTTTCAGAATCTTGAGACATCCTTCAGGCTAGAGGCGTTCAACTGGTGAGAATTTCAGTGCTACCGTGTGGCATCGACCCTTCCAGAGCGGCTGTACATGGAATTCAACTTCCGATGTCTCAACGACGAAAACGACGGGTTCTTTTCAGTCAAGCTCAGGTCTGTTAAGTCCGACCTATAACACGCATGATAACGTTGATTTCGTGATTGTCTGTTTTTAGGTCTATGAGCTTGAACGTCGTTTCAAGCAGGCTAAATATTTGACCGCACCAGAACGAGAACAACTGGCGAACTCGATTCATCTTACCCCGACTCAGGTACGGTAGTCGTTTTCTCGATCTCAAACAGTTCCTACGTGCAACTGAAGGGTTGAAATACATGGAACACGATAGATTGCTTTGTTGATTTTCACACATTTAGTAGCTCACTTATTGAAAAATTAGGGCGCAGAGTCACAAACACACTACCAGCCATTGGAGAGATGGGGCAAAAAACGGCTAAATATCTGGATATTTACGGGAAAGTAGCGATTCTTCAGCTGTCAGCGATCGCAACAGTTGCGGTGACTAGCCATGATTCACAGCTCTTTCATTGCCAAGCACGGATGGTTACGGTAGAGTAACCGGCGCAAGTGATTGGTTAAGCTGTAAATAAGCAAAATTAGTTGGAAAGCGCGTGAAATTTTTCCTGGGTTGCTGTTAACTAAATAAATATGGTAATCCTGCAAATGGTATTTGTAATGGCTGGCTCTCCGCTACTTCTGGAATAAGCCACCTAATTACAGTAATCCGTGAGCTGAACACTGGTTTCCATTCCTTCTTTTCAATTAAATTCATGTCACGTTTAATAACGTCATAGAATCCAAATAAAAAAAAAGCCAATACTATCGTTGGCCCCACATTTCACTAAGTATGTGAAGGACAAAAGCGGTGGAAACAAGTGTGTGAGGACTAAGTGAACAGTTAAAGCTAAATGTCAGAGAATTTTGGCCATATTTGATTCAGTTTTCGAGTCCCGCTAGCACCCCTAGATTCAACTTTCAAACAGTACACTAACTGATACCAAGAAGGTACGGGGTACTAAAAACCGGCATATTATACAAGGACATACGCAACCCCATGCAATCCACATCCTCCTGTCAAATACCAAATGGGCCTTCCTAGTAAAGTGTGTATCTTAATGAACTTGATCAGCCCCAAAAGATCATCCTTCATTAATCACGAGCGAAAACCCAAAATAAAGATGAAGCCTCTGGATTAATCACCGATAAACCCACATGCACGGTTCCTGTTGAGGGGTACACTGGTGTTGCAAAAGCATGTTCTCCTTACCATTAAGAGCTGCAACAATAGGAACATCATATTGACCTGGGACCAATATAGCTATGCAAAAAAATTCCAAGCTACCCATATCTTACCACATCTTGTCTCACTTAATAGTAGCTTACTAATTTTCCATTATAGGTGAAAATCTGGTTCCAAAATCATCGGTACAAGTGCAAACGACAGGAGAAAGAAAAAGCCATGACGGGTGGTCTCAGCCATCGCGACGACTCGGCCAGTCCGCAATCGGTGGATGGGGATGGGTTTGTGGTGAACGACACTTACATATCTCTAAACATCCAAAACATCCAAAAATTGCATTGCAAACACAATTTAAATAATTCACACAATCAAAAAAGATCAATAAGGCGAACATTAAAACGCTAAAAAGGATGCTAGGGGGAACGTTCCGTTCCCTTCTGTTCTGAATCACAGTTGTCAGTCTGAGACACCACTACCACCATATTTAGTGTTGATTAAAAGCGCTTGAATGATTGTGTTCCGAGCGATTGAAAATCGCAGCCAAAAAACCTGACTAATTAAAAGCTTTTTAGCTTAGAAGTTGGGTAACGCCAAAATTTTGCTGAAGCGCTCATGGTTTCGGTCTTGGCAAGCGTCAAGAATTTGTCGCAGAGTATGGGAAGAGAGGGTGGTATTTGTGACCCGAGAACGTATTTGGATGAGTGGGGAATGGTAAGAGGCGATGGAGTTCATGATTCCTTGGGAAAAAACTCAAAAATTCTTACGGAATCCCTGAAATACCGAAATTTTGTACTGTGGTTGTTTTGACACTACAGTATACCCGAGCTCACTTCTTCTGCTCTCCTACCATGCCCAGACGGACCTTCGGAGAATCTGGAGATATAGGAGAGTTTGAGAGGCTTAGAAGGGCACGCATTTGCGAGGAGGTTAGGATTTCACCTGAAAATTAGCCGCGACACCTGGGGACGCTTTACTCTGGCCTTGAAACCTTACATTACAGTGGGACTGAAACAAGGGATTGACAAGACTATATTTTATCCATTTTCAAGATGCATTTGACACATAACGACTAGGAAAATAGCGCACTTCTTTCAGCAAGGCTTCGCCAGCGTTAAACACGCCCAAGGAGGATCCGTCCTGCTCAGAGGCGGAGCCTAGTCAATCCACCTCCGAACCGCTACCCGAGATTAAAGGCGGCATGTTCAC